CTCTGTAATCACGTCTCTCTCCCCTCTCTCTCTCTCTCTCTCTCTCGTACTCTCTCTCTCCCTCTCTCTATCTCTCTCTCTCTCTCTCTCCCTCTTTCTCTCTCTCTCTCTTTTCTCTCTCTCTCTCTCCTCGCTCTCTTCTCTCTTCTCTCTCTCTCTCTCTCTCTCTCTCGCTCTCTCTCCCTTTCCCCGTCTCTTCTTCTCTCTCTCTCCTCTCTCTCTCTCGCATCTCTCTCCCTCTCCCTCTCTCTCTCTCTATACTCTCTCTCTCTCTCTCCCTCGGCTCTCTCTCTCTCTCTCTCTCTCTCTCCCTCTCCCTCCGCTCTCCCTCTCTCCTCTCTCTCTCTCTCTCTCTCCTCTCCTCTCCTCTCCTCTCCCTCTCCCTCTCCCTCTCCCTCTCCCTCCTCCGTCTCTTTCTCTCTCCGCTTTCTACTCTCTCCCTCTCTCCATCCCTCCTTCCCTTCCTCCCTTCTCTCCCTCTCTCTCTCTCACACAACACACACACATCTCACAATCTCTCTCTCTCTCTATCTACTACAGAGCTGCCGGAGACTGGTCAAACACGGACCGAGCGCTGAACGATGGGCGTAACGTTCTACGTGTCGTACGTCGGCAGACACCGCTGCCAAGCGAGAACCGGCCCGCCGCAAAAAAGAGATAAGCAAGCAAAGAGAAAAGATAGCAAGAGGGCGTGAGGGAAAGATAGCAAGAGGGCGTGAGGGAAAGATAGCAAGAGGGCGTGAGGGAAAGATAGCAAGAGGGCGTGAGGGAAAGATAGCAAGAGGGCGTGAGAGAAAGATAGCAAGAGGGCGTGAGGGTAAGAGGTAGAGGAGACCTGGTGCCCAATGTAAAAACGTTTCACAACGGCAACGATTTCAAGCAATAGATGGCGCTGGCACTTGTTGACGCTCGTAATTCGGCGAGTGTTTGGGAGTAACGCGAGTAGTGCTCTGCATCATGTGCAGGCGCGTCATGAGGGATGGATGACAGGCCGTGACACACGTGGTACTAGTCTGTCTGCGTAGTGTTATCCCCCCAACATCAGCTGTCCGCTACATTATGCAGAGATGCTAACACTTTTCTGAGCAAACTGTAGTGAGGATGTCTGAAATCTGTAGTCCGAGGGTCACGCAGTGACCCGAGTATGCTAGGGAGGGTCGGGGCATGCCCCCCCGGAAAAGTTTTGATTCCGAGATGCAATTTCCTGCATTCTGGGACCCAAAATGACAATAAGTTCACACTGAATTTGCTGCTAAATACATGTAGTTATTTTCAATCATGTTATATAAATGTAACACTGAAACAAAAGACTTGAAATATCATCAAAATTATTATTTTTTTATCGTAATAAAAATCGTAGTTGTATGCAAACTGGTCGTAGTGGTCAAAATGCAAACGAAATTCGTATAAAATACGGATAAATATTAGCGGTTGGCATCTCTACATTATGGCATGATTGCACACAGAAATCTGTAGGTATGAATTGCACATGTGCCCGTGCGGTGTGGTTGTGCATGTACGTGTGTGTGTGTGTACGTGTGTGTGTGTGTGTGTGTGTGCATGTACGTACGTGTGTGTGTGTACGTACGTACTATCGCGTGATGCTCTTGCTTGCTGACTGACCTACTTTTACGCGCTAGATTCTGCATCCGATCGGCAGCAGACAAACTCCGTGCCGTTTCTACCGCAGCACACCCGCTATAAACCAGCCATCAGTAATCGCAGCGCTCGAGAGAAATCACGAATCACATTCGTCGGCGCACACCGGTCGCCGGACACGACCGGTGGCGCTCTCTACCGACAAGTGGCCGTGTCCGCTGTCCCCTACTCGTCTCTGAGACGACAGTCGGACTGACCCGACTCCTGCGCCCGTCGTCCCGGAGGGAAATCGGGACGCGTCTGCGGTAACGGGAGACGGGTGGTTCGTGGTACGCGCGCGTGCGGTGCAAGG